CTAATTTTATAGCATCCCATTTGAAATCAGTTATTAACATATAATTTTGAAATGAAATATGTAAAGCATAAGATGACGGTAAAAATTAGTTCCTTTTTTTAATTTGAAATAATTGTAAACAGTTCTTTAAATATTGATTTTTAATTGAAATATGAAAATTGCAATATTATTCTAGTAGCAGAAGAATTGATCTATTAGGGCAAATATTTGATCAAAGTTGTAAATGGTACTTGTGCTTTATGCTTTCATTCAATAAGCATTAATGGAATGGAGAGATCACGCTATTATTAGATTAATTTTTACCAATGCCCCAATTTTAATTTTACATTCATTTGTTTTAATTACACATTTATTTCATTACGATCCAAAATATGCAAATTTAGACGAAGAAAGTGCAATTTTTTTATCGTTTGACCCTATAAATTCTGCATGACCTTAATAACTTAGTCTACATAGTTATTAGACATTTCAAATTTATTAATTAAAGTAATAATTTTTAGTATAGAATGATATAGATTAAAATTAAAATTTAAACGAATTATTAGGATTTTAAATAACTTTTTATCTATTTGTTCTTTTTTTTGAGATTATGTTTACACTGATTGAAAAATTAGTTTAGTAGAAATTATCCGTCCGTTCTCGTCCTGTTCATTTTTCATAATCTTTTTGTCATCTTTATTTTTCTAAAATCTTTAAGCAAACAGTTTTGATGAAACTGACTAGTTTAAGTAGTTTTTTTTTCTGATATTTCCTCATTATTCTTCATTTTCAGCAATCTATCCTATATTTTGTTTTGAAAGTATATAATATAATGATATATATTTTTATTCTTTTATCTGTTCCATTTTAATTTTAATTTTAATATGCAATTTAAATCAATACGTATGAGAGTATTCCGTTATTGAACTTATCTAATTTCTCGTTTCAAAATTTATGAGAGATATTTGAGCAAATTTCATCCGAGAACGATATTTTTTTATCGCTGATTGTAATGAAGCAATAATTTGAGCGTGATCTCTAATCGTTGGCTAGAAAATATCAAAATACTTTTTCATAATATTTATTTTAATATTCAATTTCTAGTTCTTTTTTTTTCATTTTTTCAAGGCATTTTAACATCTTATCAAATGTAGTATAAAATATTTATTTTACTAACCTCTACTTAAAAATCTATGTTTTTAAAAATTCCTATCTAAAAATCTATGTTTCTATCATATCAATTCAATTCTACATTTTGATTCCTTACATCTATCTATTTTACCAGCTATTTATGGTTCATAATAGTAACATTCCTGAAATCATCCCTTGTTAAAATTTTTCTGTCTATTAGCCTAATCAAGTGTAGGATATTACTTCTTGCAGTAAGATGATATCACTATTGATAAAAAATTTTTAATCAGCTTTGTATAGAATCCTCGATATGATACTTAACAACTTTGCATGCAATCTTATCATTTGAAAACGATCTCAATTCCGTCATATTTCAATTGTAGTCATCTAATTCTTATTATTGATTAAATATCCACCCCACCCCCCTTCCCCCAAAAAAAAAAGAAGAAATCATAAATATGCATTATTTCGTCAATTTTAATCGTTAAATGTTAGAAATGCCTTTGCTGAAATGTTTTGTTAATTTTATCAATGACATTTCTTGTTTGTTACAATAAATGTACATTGCTATCAGCTTTTGCTGCTATTTATTTACTGCTCTCGACTATTTTTGTTTGTTACATATTACTTAAGAGATGACGCATTCCTTGAGGGATAATGGTTTGGTAGCTGTGCTACTGTTCAATTATTTATTGAGTTTCAATGATGCACGATATCATTATCATTCGACTATGATAGTGAACAAACGGGACGATTCGATACAGCTACAAAATGGATTATTCGATGGTTCCATTAATGGTTCCTTCATTTTTTGTTTCAATTCCTCTTTTGAATCACCTCTTCATTGGAAGATGATGATTTTGCTTATATGGAAATTGAATCATTTTTTTCAATATTTTTTTAGAATTTTTTTAAATTAACTTTTACTTAACATTTTATTTTATTTAATATTTTTTTTTGCTTAATATTTTATTAAAGTTAAATTCCCATCCATTTCACACGTTCAATTTTTAAAGGAAAAAAATAATGAAATAACGGAGGTATACACTGTCACATTGAAATATCTATTAATTGAGAAGATATCATATCATTATTATCTTATCATTCAATCTATTGTCATCGTCAGCTATACAATTAAAATTCCTTAAATTTATTATTTCTTAGTAAAAATCTTTGAATATTGTTTAAAGCGTAAATTTTAAAACTATTTTGAGTTATCATTCCTCAATTAATCCATAATTCTTTTTTCCCCTTTTTTTGTTAATGCTGAATAATATATGAGTTCAAATTAGCTTATTGATTATATCGCAAGCTATTCTATATTAATCAATCAGACTGGTCAACCGCTAATTAAAATGCCATTTAATTAGTGCATTAATCTGATTTTGCTATCAAACAATTTAAAAAGCTTTTCTTTTGCTTCATTGTAAACAATTAGTGAAATTAATATCGGCTAATAATCAGCATTAAATACTGTAATAATTGGAACAGTAATAAACTAAGAAATATTTTCGTTAAGGTATTGTACACGCTGGAAGTGTTGTCGGTATGCCAATTGTTGATAGCAAATGGAAAAATGAAACCGAATTAAAGCGTGAGAAAGATGAGGAGGAACGAAATGATGCAAAAGAAGATGGTTTTGGTAGGGCGCATTTGTCCTCTTCCTTTATTCAAATTTGCAAAAATAAATTCATAAGAAAAATTCAATACATTTTGATAGTATATTAATTGAATTTTCAGAACTTATTATTTTTACTTTTAAGGTCTAAAAACTTTCATGATATTTCAGATTTTTGAATTATTGAATTTCAACCAAATAAAATGAAGAATAATTTCTTTATGCTACAAACAATATAATTATTCTTTTTTTATGCCTCCAAATATGATTGATAATAAATTTAATAGTTTTTCAAAGAGGTTGAATTTAGCTCTTTTTTCTGTCATTAAATATATGTATGAAATTATCATCAACAGAGTAAAAATTTCAATTCCAATTAAATGTAGGTAAAACAGATTGTCGCACACAACGAGAACGAGCGATGAAGAAGTTAGAAAATAATCCAGAAAATGGGAATTATATACCAACATGTGCTGGTGATAGTGATATGTAAGTTTTTTGCATGATAATAGTATTAAATGATATGAAAGTATCAGTTGAAATAAGTAATGTTATTTGTCATTCCAAGAAAGTTGACATGTTTGTTGTAAATTGAAAGCGTGAGTTTTTCTTCAAGTATCACATCATTATGATAACAGCGCTTTACGCCGGACAAGACCGTCTCTCTAACTGACTCCTAAGATAGTTTCAACAATTTCATCGATCTGTTGAAATGTAAAAAAAAAAAATGTTAAAAAAAAAACATCTCACTGACTAAATTGTCGTAACACTGAGAAATAATATTTTCCACTTTAAAGGTGATTTCCCGACACTAATTTAACAGCCAATCTTCTCAATCTCTTTATTCTTTTTCATTCTTTCCAAAGCTTCCGCTCTTTTGCAGACTGTTTGATCGAATTCAATGTCATCGTTTGTCACATATTTGTTGGTGTGTGAATCCGGAAACAGGTATTCCACAATCCGGTACATCCAAATACAATGCTAAGCCAAACTGTGATGGAAGACTTCAACGGGATGATGTTGCTAGGCGACAAATTAAAGGTGGATTAAGCTTTCAAAATTTTAAATTTAAACAGTTTTCGATAACATGACTGAACATGTTAAATTATGTATTACACTAATCATATCTATTTGTCCACTAATTTGCTTAATCATTCTGCAATTAATTGCACAGAGAAATGCATGAATTATTATCGTAAATATCAGTAAAAAGTATCTAAATTATAGGTTGTTCGGGCAGGAAAAAGGCGAAATTTTATCAGCGATTGTTTTCATCATTAATTAGCGAATGGATTTTAGCTCTTGGTGATGAGGCAAATGATGATGCTATCACCAGTAAGGATAAAGCTGTTCGATGGAAATTTGAACAGCTTGATGTTAACAACAATTCGGTTTGTTTCTATTTGTCAACCCACTGATATTATTTAATTAAAAAAAAGCTAATTAAACCTATGTTATTAAGAAAGAATAAGTCCTCTTATCATTTTAGGATAATAATTGCTTTTAAATGCCTTATTACATTCTCTTTTAAGGATTGACTTTGAAAGCAGAACAGAGAAATTAAAAGTTTTAGCGATTGGAACGGAAAGAATGGAAATCATATCGAAATGAATTACGCTTACTGAATAAAGTACGAAAATGTGGGCGAAATTTTTTGCGCTTTTGTGATCGCGATGGAAATAAGCAAATTAGATTAGATGAATGGCTAAATTGTACAATTTATGGTAAGTTTTTAGCTTATAATTAGCAAAAAGAAAATGAGAGAAATAAAATGAATTCTTATAGCCATCAGTGATATCACCTAACTT